CTCCAGAACCCCTCCCACTGTGGCCCCCAAAGCACCAAGAAGACAGAGCATCCCTTGCCCCAGACATAAGAACATAAGAGAAGCCATGTTGGATCAGGCCAAAGGCCCATTGAGTCCAACACTCTGTGTCACACAGTGGCCAAAACCCAGGGGCCATCAGGAGGTCCACCAGCGGGGCCAGAACTCCAGAAGCCCTCCCGCCATGGGCATCACTGCCCCAGAGAGAGTGTTCCGTGTAGGGTTGCCAAGTTGATCTTCGCTGGGAGCGGGGGGCTCCCGGCCGGTGTCTGGTATGCACGCGCGCCGCGCGCACGTCAGAAGTGACGGGAGGACGCCATAGAGTTTTCCCTTGGATGGCCGTGGCCCCACCCCCAGCGTGCCCAGCGTGGTCGCGTCACTTCCGGGTGACGCGCACGTCGGGGTGGAGTTCCCCCCGGGGCCCGATCTGGCGGAGCCAGGGAACGGGCCTCTGGGGTGGGGGTTTCCCCGCCCCCCAGGGGGACTTGGGATCCCTAGTTCCATCTATTCATTGTGGTTAATAGCCATTGATGGACCTCTGCTCCAGATATTTCTCCAGTCCCCTCTTGAAGCTGCCTATGCTCGTAGCCACAGCCACTTCCTGTGGCAGTGAATCCCACAGGTTAATGACTCTTTTTGGGTGAAGAAGCACTTCCTTTTATCCGTTCCAACCCGACGGCTCAGCAGTTTCATGGAGTGCCCCACCCCAAGCTCGCAGAGTCCACGTTCAAGGGGAGTCCAATGGGACCTGTGGGTGGCACCCGGGGACTGTATACAGTTGGTCATTCGACCGCTTGCTTGTTGTTGTGCTGTGTGCCAGTAAAGTATGAGCTGCTAATCACTCAGCGTCTGTCTTCACGACGCATCGAACCCAGTACACAACAGCAACTCTAGGCCACCTACAGCACAGGGGAAGCCCTGGGAAAGATCCAGGGGGAAGGCCATGAGAAGCCCATAGCAGGCTTGCCAGCTCCCTGTTGGGAAAGACCTGGAGATTTTGGGGGTGGAGCCTGAGGAGGGTGGGGTTTGGGGAGGGGCTTCAGTGCCACAGAGCTTGGCTCAAGTGGTTAAGACGCTGAACTGCAGGCTGTGGAAGGTCAGTCGTTCAGCAGTTCGAGACCCGAGTGTGCCGCATGACGGAGTGAGCTCCCGCCTCTAGTTCCAGCTCCTGCCAACCTAGCAGTTCGAAAGCAAGAAATTGGAAGTCGATAAATAGGTACCACTTTCGGTGGGAAGGGAACAGCGTTCCGTGCGCCTTGGTGTTTAGTCATGCCAGCCACGTGACCTTGGAAACGTCTTCGGACAGCGCTGGCTCTTCGGCTTGGAAACAGAGATGAGCACCGCAACCCTAGAGTCGGATTCAACTGGCTTTCGAGCAAGGGTCACCTTTACCTTTACCACCCTCCAAAGCAGACGCTTTTCTCCAGGGAAACTGATCTCTGTCATCTGGAGATTGGCTGACATTCCAGGGAGCCTCTGGGCCCTACCTGGAGGTTGGGAACCCTTGTGTTAGTCCCTGATGCCGGCCCTGCAGAGCAGAGTCTATATGTAACGGAAGGGTGTGCGCAGGAAGGCCTCAATACGCAAGAATCGAGGAAGCCGGTGGACAGTTGGTCGCGATCACACGCGAATGCCAGGTGGATTTTAAGGGCGCGATCAGACGCCAACATCCGCCAAGCGTCCCACTCCCGCCAGCAACCCGTTTTGCTCCGCGGCAGAAGCGGAGTAAAAAGAATTATAATCATAATTATAATTGAGAAGGCTGGACCAATTTTTGCAATTTTATAATGTTTAAAAAGCTATATAAATCTGACTAATGGTATTCATATCACAGGGCTTGCTTGTGTGTTTTTCCTGTTGGATACCTGTGACCCCTTTTGTTTTGTGCTGTCCGAAATTTTTTCAGCCTGAGGGGCAGCTTTGGCGGAGAAGCCGGCTACAAAATGTCAGAGAGGTGGTATATAGCTAATGTTCACAGCAGTTCTGTTGGAAGAGGAGGAGGAGAGGAAGAAGAGGAGGAGGAGGAGGAGGGGAGGAAGAAGAAGAGGAGGGGAGGAAGAAGAAGAGGAGGAGGAGATTGGATTTATACCTCGCCCTTCACTACCCAAGCGAGCCTCAGAGGGGCTTACAATCTCCTTTCCCTCCCCCTCCCCACAACAGACACCCTGTGAGGTAGGTGGGGCTGAGAGAGCTCTTTCGAGGACTGCTCTTGAGAGAACAGCTCTGTGAGAGCCATGACTGACCCACGGTCACACCAGCAGCTGCACGTGGAGGAGGAGTGGGGAATCTAACACGGTTCTCCTAGATTAGAGTCCGCGCTCCTAGCCACTACACCAAACCGGATGCCTTTTTATCTGCACGGCAAATCAGAAGCGCTGCTGGGCAAAAGCCCTCCCTGGCCCCATCCACTTTTTCAAAGCACCCGTGGGTGCTTCTTTAGAAAGGCCTAAATCATACTTTGAAAACTACAGCGTTAAAGGAAAGGACTTGCCATAGTCTTTGGGGAGTGGAGCAGGGGCGGAGGGGTGGACGATGGGTTTCTTCCTCCTCTCAAGGACAGGGCTCTGGAACTCTGGGGGTTGGTGGTCGTCTTCGGATGGGACCTCTCCGGAGTCGTCTTTGGTCATGGTTGCTGGAAGTTGTCTCTTCTGTGCAGCGAACACGGATGAGAAGAAGAAGAAAGAAACACGAGAGATGAGCCAAGACATTTGAACAGGTCACAAGATGAGCAGAATTTAAATCCCAAAGGATTGAGTTGATAGAAAATGACAACCTTGTGAACCTGAAAAATCAGCAGTGGCTGAACGTACCCTAACTCAAAAAGGACACAGTATCTTATTCCAAAACACTGCCAGGCTGGACAACGCATCCAATTACCATGTCAGATTACACAGGGAAGCCACTGAAATTCATAAACATAAAACACAACCTCAACAGGAAATAAGAGAGTTTAAAAATAAATAAGGCATGGTTTCCTGTCCTGAAAAACACAAAAGGCTCTACATCTTACAACAGCACTACAGATAAGATTAGAATTTCAATAGCCAATCCATATGCAAAAGAACCTCCTCAGGAAAGCTCCTCCGTTAGCATGTCACAGCCTGGGGAACTCCTACAAGATAATGACTCAGCCTTACCCCACCTTCCTGAGTAGATATAAATTACCTGCCCACCATTTTTCTTCTCACCTTGACACAGAGAGTACTCCACCTTTCTGTGTTATACCTCTGAGGATGCCAGTCACAGCTGCTGGCGAAACGTCAGGTCCTACAATGCCAAGACCATGGCCACACAACCCGGAAAATCTACAACAACTAACTTGTGATCTTCATCTACCTGCCGCATTTTTTTTCCAGGCAGCTAGCCATGTTGGTCAGCGGTAGAGCAGCAAGGATCGAGTTCAGCAGCACCTTGAAAACTAACAAAATTTCCAGAGTATAAGCTTTCGAGATTCAAAGCTCCCTTGAAATTTGGTCTGAAGCAACAGGACAAAGTTTGAGTCCAGTGGCACCTTTAAGACCAATTTAAGACTTTAAGTGATTAACACGTGGAATTCACGGCCACAAGAGGTGGCGGCGGCTACAAGCATGGACGGCTTCAAAAGGGAATTAGATAAGCATATGGAGCAGAGGTCCATCAGTGGCTATTAGCCACAAGGTATAGATAGGGGCTCTGGGGCAAGGGATGCTCTGTCTTCTTGGTGCTTGGGGGGGAGGTCAACAGTGGGAGGGCTTCTAATGTCCTGGCCCCACTGGTGGACCTCCTGATGGCACCTGGTATTTTTGGCCACTGTGTGACAACAGAGTGTTGGAGTGGATGGGCCTTTGGCCTGATCCAACATCAGCTTCTCTTATGTTCTTACCAATAAAGTTTTATTCTGGGTATAAGCTTTCCTGTGCACGCACACAAAAGTGTATACCCAGATGTAAACCTTGTTGGTCTTAAATCTGCCACTGGACTCAAACTTTGTCTGAAGAAGTGTGAATGTGCACGAAAGCTTATGCCCAGAATTAAACTTTGTTGGCTTTACATTTCCCACTGGACTCGAACTTTGTCCCGGAAATCTTCTTCTATTTAATTATAATTCTTTATTTCAATTTACAAACATGACTTATACACTAGAATTATTTCTATTCAAAATCATACATTTATATAGACCTTACTTAAATTTACACTCAATATTTCACTTCTGTCTAAATATCTTTATTCTGACTTCTCCGTCTATCTTCATAGTCAATAACATTTTTGTTATATATATTACCTAACTCCTTCTATCATTCTCT